CAACTCAAATCAAGCCGTCAACCACCCAAAATCACCCAGAGGCCCTCGGGACCACAACCAGACATACTAGCAGGTCCTATAACATCATACAAACTTAGTTGGACCTTCGAATCACTCAAAACAACATCAAAACACCAAATTACACTCGGATTCAAGCCTAAAGAACTTCTAAACTTCTGAATTCCACAAACGATGCCGAAACCTACCAAATCACGTCCGAATGACCTCAAATTTTGCACATAAGTCATCAATGACACCACAAACGTACTCCAACTTCCGGAAATCCAATCCGACCCCGATATCAAAATTTCCACTGCCGGCCAAAATTACCAAAATTCTAACTTTCGCCAATTCAAGCCTAACTTTGCTACAGACCTCCAAATCACATTTCGGACGCGCTCCTAAGTCCAAAACTACCTAATGGAGCTAACGAAACCATCAAAATTCAAATCCAAGGTTGTTTACACATAAGTCAACATCTGGTCAACTTTTCCAACTTGAGCTTTCAATTAAGAGACTATGTGTCTCAATTCACTCCGAAACCACTCCGAACCCGAACCAACTAACCTGGTATATCATAATATAGCTGAAGAACACAAAAGAAGCAGGAAATAGGGGAACGAGGCTATAACTCTCGGAACGACCGGCCGGATCCTTACAAATTCATATGTTCAAGGTGGAGGCAAAAAGTGATTCGCGTCGTGCCGCGACGTTAAATCAAGCGCTTGTTGGGAGGCAAACCGGCTTTACTGTTTTCTTTTTATAATTTTTTTTACTATTATTTTATTATATTATTTTTGTAGTGTCATTTTTTATATTTTAGGAGCATGGGAAGTAAAGTCATTGGAAGAAAGCAAAAGCAAGTGAGATTGTAAGAACCAAGTCTGGGAGAACCCCATGAGCTGCTAATGCTTCGGCCTTCGGCTACCAGGGAGTTTCTTTTACCCTCTTATATTAATGGGTGTGCATTGGGGATAATTCACAATTTTAAGTGTGGGGTGAAGAGACTGTTTGGGTAGTTTTCTATGTTATTTTAGTTGTATTATTTTATGTGTGTTAAAAGAATTCAAAAAAAAATAATTAGGTAATAATAATCCCTCTTATTTTTTCTTATGGCTACGGTTCTTTTCCAATAGTAGTTTTTTTCTTGTAGATAGAATTTTCATAAAGTTTTGAACTTTTCCCGACGATGGACTTCCTAGACAGTTTTCTTGAGAGTTTAAGGTCCAAAGAAAAACAATAAAAAAACAAAAAGCTTTTTTTTCAACAGATAATGGAAAGGGATGAACTTGAGTATCTATACTTATTGACATGTTTTATGTTAGGCTTAGAGCTGGAGCATTTGCACTGAGTACTTTCTTCTTTATTCTTGTGACTATATGCCTTGAGAGTATATGCGTTTCTTTTGACGCTTGGGCTTGTCTATTGACTCCTGTTGTTACTTCCTAGTGTTTGGATTATATTATGACTGTTCTAGTTGCTTTAACTTGAGAGTGGGGTCTGAGCTGTCCTGAGTAAGTCATGTGCAATGTGTGAGGTAAGATTTTGGTTGTACTCTGTGCCATACCTTGTTAGTCTGGAACTTGCCTTGTGTGTGAGTCGCAGCGAAATGTTTAAGTCTTGTGAGTTTAGGAAATGATATAGGCGTTTCTTTGATTGATCCTTTTGCCTATTTACCTACCAGTGATAAAAATTATCCTTTGTTAACCCATTTGAGCTTGTAAGCATTTTCTTTGGTACCCACATTACAAGATGAATCCCTTTTTGTTCTTAATTAGATCTTGTTGAACCTTACCTCCGAAAGCACTTAAGTCACTAGAATTGAAAGAAAAGAGATTGGGTAGTTTTTCAGTAGAACCATAGAAAGGCCAAAAAGTGCATATGTGAATAGAGAGAGCTACTAGTCGCAAAATACCAATTTATGGAGGGTGTTGAAAAGATTTTGAACAAAAAAATATCCCTCCAATTCACTTTGATATGTGCTAGTGCTTATGTAGATGTGCTTAAAGTCAATGGGCTATGTTATTTGTGGTGTTGTAGCGATATGTTGAGTGATCATGAAGAGGATGTGCTTAAAAGTTAAAGTGTATTGTATTAAAAGTGCTTAGGAGAATTAGTCACTATTATCCATATATATCCTACCCTTCCCTTAGCCTACATTACAACCCATGAAGACCTAATTGATCCAAGACTTTGCAAGCTTAAATTAGTAGAGACTTACATTACGGGCAAGCCTATGGTACGAGCTTTGGAGGCACATGAGTTTCTTTGTGAGAGTGAGTGAATTCTATCATTCTGTGAGTCCTTAAATTATACTTGAATTCATATTTGAGTGTGCTTTGTTTGTGAGGGCACATGCTTTACAACAGATTGGTAAGGAACTCGTATCTTTAGTTTGCACAAGAAGCGAATGAATGTAGTGGAGTCAATTTTTGTGGCTAGGATGTTAGAGAGTCACACAGATATTTTGAATAGTCTTGGCATTGGTCTAAAAAATGAGGAGAGTATGAAGAGTACTTATATCGGAATCTAAGCGTTGATATAAACCATTGTCAATGGGGTGATGCTTAGTATATTTTGACATGTATTTCTTGCCTATGTGCTTAAATTTATGTTGCTCGAGGACGAGCAAGAGTTTCAGTGTGGGGTGTTGATAAAGGATGAAAAGTGCATATTTTTTAGTATATTTGCATATTAATTCTTCTGTGAGTCACAAGAGTTTACATGGTTTTTGAAGTAAAATATACTCAGTATGTGTTTCTTATGTGTAGGAACGAGTTTGAATGATAAATGATCAAAATATGACAATTCGACACAAAAAGAAGAGATGGAAAGAATTGGGAGCTCGTCCAATTTTGTGCGTGGCACGAAAACGGATGCGAAAAAGGAGAAAAATGAAGTCACAAAACAGAGAAGCGAAGCGAAGGTACGGATCGCTTCGTGAACTAGAAAATTGCAAAAGCTGAGTCCGCGTCCAAGTTTGCGCGTTGCACGAAAGTTGACACGCCCTCCAACTCTCCTATCCGATTTTGGATTGCCTGGGACGGCCCTCCACCCTACCTAGGTCATATAAATACATCCTAAAACTACTTTGGAAGGAGATAAGACTTTAGGGAGGCAAGAACACGCTAGGAGCAAGAAGGAGAAGGATTCAACTTCACGTTTTTCCCTCTTTCTTCTTCTATTTCCATTATTGGTTTTGAATTCAAGTATTGTAGTTTTGCATACTATTATGAATAGCTAATTTGTTATCTAGGGTTTTGATGGAACCTTTTGGAGGATGAATTATTGTTATGTTTTTATATAATTGAGTCGTTGGATTTCTCTACTTGTTCAACTACGTGTTTGTTGTTGTTGATTGAATGACCATCAATTGACTGTGCCTATTTAGTGTGTATTGCTTGGAAAAGAGTACATATTTAGGTAGTTGTCGAACAACATAACTCCTAACGTATGTGAGGGATCAATACGGAGGGTCTAAAGGTAGGATTAGGAATAACGAAGCCTTGGTGTGATCTTAGTGACCAGTGCATTAGTGTCAGCTAGCGTAGTTCGGAAGAATATGTCTAGTAAATTGTGGTAGTTGCTTGGAAGAGAATTATGACACCCGAAGTACTCATGATCGGTAGAGGATACTTAGGCGAAACTATAGAAGATGCAGCGGGAAGGATTCCGACAATTGGTGAAATCATAACTCTAGACCTCCTTAATCTTGTCTCCAATCATTTTCCTTGTTAATTGATAGTTTTACTGCTTTTTAGATTTGTTAGTTAATTAGATAGAAATAAACATAATAATCTTTATAATAAGGAAATTGTTTGGACATGTGTTTCTTAGCGATATTGAACAACTGTAACTAAGCCTAAGTTCTCTGTGGGATTCGACTGCTTAGTCCTTTTTATAAGACATAGTTGGGCATGATCTTAATTACAGTGCAATTACAACTGTACTGGTTGGTTGCACAAATATAATTACATAGTTAGATTAAACCTTCAATACAAAGTTAATTATCAAAAATTAAAAATTAAGATTCAAGAAAAATGTGTCATTATAAATGATATTAAATTTGACATTAAAGATACATAATGTTTCTTGAAAATATATTAATTACTAATAATATATTTGTAACTAATATTGTAAAAATAATTGACATATATTTTGTAAATTAATAATATTTTACTTTAACTAGTTATAAGAATTAAAAGTACATATTTTATAAGAACATCATGAATTGCATGCTTGATAAAAATATTAATATTTATAAATATAATTCCATAACATTACTCAAGTATTTTGCGAAAAAATAATCCTGCAATTTTAAATGAAAAATGAATGGCATGCAATCTGAATTAATAAATTAATGGAGCACGCAATTTTTGCCCTAAGTATAAATCACTTCTAAAAGACACAAAAGTAGATTTTAACATTTTGATTTTTGTAGAATTTCTAAAGATATTTCCTTGTTTGTTTGTTTGCATTTTTAGATTAATTGCATTATTAGGAGCATTTTAAATCATAGAAAACTACCAAAAATACTTTTGATTTTATTCATTGCATTCTAATTGCATTTTAAGTCCTAATTACACATAATTTGCATTACTAAATACGAAAATGACAAAAAAAACAAAATAATACATTAGTTATTTTGATTAATAAATTAATTTTAGTTCGATAATTCAGATTTAATTAATTAGTTATTAGATAAGATAAATAATTAGGTTATTTTTTCAAAACTAGTTCGAAATTAGGACTTTAAATCAAATGGTTAAAACTAAAATTCAAAACAAAGAAGAGGAAATGAGGTCTGTTTGTGCTTGCATTCCAAACTAGGCCGACCCCAATGGCTCAAATTTCGTCAGACCCGTCCAACCCCACTCTCTACTTGGCCCAATCCCGTTCTTAGACCCAAACGACGCTGTTTTGATCCCTTTCAATCCTAGCCCTTCGTCTCCTATGATCAAACGGTTCACAACCAACCGTGCCTTCCCTTTCGGAGACACCCCTACCCCCAAAACAACCTCTCAGACCTCCCCAATCTCTTTCACCATTCTTCTGCCGTTTGTTGCCGCCAAAAATTGTCCCACAGCGGCGACACCACTCCATGTCTGCCCAAAATACCACCATATAATCTCCATCACGCCATCATCTCCAATTTACTATTTACTATTATTTTTCTCCAAATCCATCCCAAACTTGTCGATTAGTAGATCTGAGACTTTCAAAAACCTGAGTTTACCCCGTTTTTGATTTCCCTTTTCGTTTTGGCCTGTTTCACGTCATAACTTACATCAATAGACTGCTCTCGCTGAGAGTTATCGATTGTTGTTAGTTTCACGGTCGTCGGTGAACGGTCAAACGTCATTGACCACCTCAGCCACCACTCAAGCTCATACCTGTGGTTGTGGGGCAATGGCCATTGGCTGCCGAAATTTTTGCTCCGACTAGGATTCATTCAAGGGGTTATTCCTTTCTCTTCATTTTCTTTAGGTACATAATAACTAATGATCTAATATTAACTATCAATCAATTTCAAATGATGATTGATTGCTTGATTAGCTAATGAATCTAATATTGCCTATTTAGATTGAAAGTTGATTACATGTTCGAATTAGGTCTTAGGATTTATTTGATTATTAATTGATGTTTGCTGATTTCATTTGAACATGAGTTCCAATTCAGTCCGTCCGCTTGGGTTTAGTTTAGGATTGAGCCTGATTTTGTGTGAAATGGTTAGGCCCATCAAATTGAAGTTGGGGTAATGGGGAATGGGAGTTCAAGTGAAGTTTGTGGGCCTTTGACCTAAGGTCACAACAGGTCTATGAAATCAGGTCCTTGGGGTAAATAGCTTTTAAAGGGTATTTAGGAGATTAAACTGAGAGAATCTTTTATATAACTGACTTGAAGTTTCTATAAGAGAGTAGAAAAGGGAATTTTAGCAATATAGAAAAGAGGAAGGTCCGTTTATTTGGGGTAAAAGGAGTAAATAAATAAAAGAGCAGGGAGTAAAAAGAAAGGGAAATAACAGAAAAAGATGCTGAATTCTGTTACAAAAGTACAGACTCTAACTTGTCTCAATTCATTCTCTCATCTGCATAATATCTCACCTTCACAGACACTTCCTTACACTCTCATCTTCACTCACGAGATATTCAAAAATAAAAAACTCTAGAGCTAAAGCACCAAAAGTTCTGAAAAACCAAAACAAAAGGAGATTCAAAAGTTGATTTCAATTCAATTCCTTGTTGTATAATTCCTGGATTTTGAAAGATTTTTGAGTTTGAAGAAATTGTTATTTCCCGTTATTTTATTCCAGCTGAGTTGTGTTGTTGCTGAAGTTGTTGCTAAATTTCACTTGAGCTTGCTTTTTCTTTTATTTGGCTTGTGAAGTGTTTGTTTATGCGATTAGGTCAGTTCCAAATTTCCTTGCTATTTTGTTCTCCTGAAACGATTAGAAACACTTTTGAATTCTTGTTCAAACCTGTGAATTTGTTCAAGTACTGATTCTTTCCATGCTGTATATAATGATTGTGTTCCTTGCTTCAATGAAATGTTATTGTTGATATCTGATGCTTAAATGTGAGTTACCTCAATGCTTGCTCTCAATAGAGGATGTTGTTGTTAGTTAATTAATCATTCTATGTTTGTTTGCATTCGTCCAGTTTTAAATTTAGGTAGAGATGAATTTACTTCTTCTCCTTGCTGAATTTAATGGATACAGTAATCGAATCTGCTGCAACATACTGATTTGAACATGAACTCAGGTTAATAAGGATTAGCATATTTCTGTGTCCTTATTTGAATTATCCTTGTGGTGTTAATGCTTACATAAGCAGTCCACTATGTATATGCCCGAGATTGTGGATATATCCCTTGATTGGCTAGATCTCTAACTTCAAAGCCAAATTGGAGCCATAAGAGTAATTCAAAGGCTGCTTTGAAGTTAAAAGGCTTTGAATGAGTTTGAACACCACTTGCATTCTAGTGAGATTATGTAATTGGTCATAAAAATGTAATTAAAGAGATTAGTACTCTAGAATTGAAGGTTATGATTTTGCTACAACGATCTGGTGATGTCACTTCAAATTTAGATCATGTGTATTCCTGCTTATTTCAATTCGTAGTTATTTCCTTTCTTTGCCATGGTGTATGAATATTGTGAGTTGTAAATCACTGGGATTTTGTTCACAAAGGCCATTGGGCCTGGGCAGTTGGCCCAGTGAAATGGACAAACCCAACTGGAGTCATGAGAACTCTAAATTCTCAAGTCAATTTGAGCATCGGACCTAGAGGAGAAGCTCCAATCGGAGCAAAGGTTGGGTCTGTTCTGGGAGCATTTGCCTCCTCCATAGGCCTGCAACAAGACCTGATTTCTAGAAGGGCCTAAGAATGTTTTGGGCTTCAACCTGAAGCCCATTCGTGCCCATAAATACTATCCACAATTATTATTAGCCATGTGTAAATATTTAGTTACGAAAAATTGGTGGCCAATCTTTGGCAAACCATCACTGATTCTAACAAACGTATGGCCATTCAAGGCTATTTACTGATTCACTATGAAGAAGATATCGCATTTCGAGGGAAAATTTGAGTTATAGCCTTAAATCAAAGAGGAAAATCGTGTTAATCGAACATCAAAGTAATTCTAAAAATAAACATGTTGTGAATTGTGGGTGCGTTTCACGTGGCGTGATTTGTGATGTGTATAAAACAAACAAGTGTATGACATTGTAACTTGTTTCAAATAAATCTATAAGTACTAAAATTGGTGTAGAGCTAACTAAAATCGGTAAAGGGTAAGAATGCACAATAGATTTAAAACATGTAATAATCAGATAATTAAGCCACGTGTAAAGGTAAAGAGGCTGTGCTAATAGCACGAAATCCGAGAGTACCTCACACCTTCTTCCGGATTGACAGAATTCCTTACCCATGTCTTCTGTGTTTTGCAGACTTATACAGAGTCAAACTTTCCTTGATTTGGGATATAAAATAAAAAGAAACTTTGGACGCCGTAAATAATTATTCCAAGTGACGACTCTAAAATAAATTAAAATAAACCTATCAAATTTGAAATAATGTCACTTTGATTGTAAAAATTTCCTTTCCCTGTAAAAAGGAGGTGTGGAAACTACTAAAGCAAATAAAGTGGATTCGAAAATATAACATAAATTCAAAATAAAAAAAATAACATAATATTTTTATGAAATCTTAAAACTTAGATAACATAAGTTTCAACATAATTTATGTAAATATAATTATAAAAAAAGCATAAGTCTATAACCTCATTCATTAATGAGATTTTACTTTAATGACATCACTCATTTATATGTCAACTTTATTAATGATTCATTATTTCTAATAATAGGAGGTGTAATTTCAAAACTAGAATAATATCACAATTATGCTAAATGAAGAAAAATAAAAAAAAATGACACATATGAGCAACTACATGAAATCATAAAAAATAAATGTTGAAAAATGAAATATTGTTTAAATATTAAAAGGTAATCTATCATTTTATCCTAGTTAAGTTTGCATATAACCTCATCTAATAACAACGTTCAACTCTGATGACATTACTCACTATAAGTCAAGTTTGTGTATGACTTATTCTTTCTAAGATTACGGAGTATAATTTTTAGAAAAATTAAAATAATAACATAGCTAAATGTAATAAAAAATATAAAAAAAAGACTATGAGAAATGATGTAGAAACACATGAAGAAATAATAATATTTGAAAACGAATTAAAAAAGTTAAAATAAATGTAAATTTAAAAGAAAAGAAAAGAGATTCGATGCTCATATTAGCTCTGCCTTCTCTCTAGTTTCTCTCTGTAACTAACAGCCCACCGGCGCACGTTAGTCTAACGGGCGGCCACCGTGGAAATGGCCAGGGGAAGAGGAAGACCACGGTTGCAGCCTTTAGCTGGGGGTGGAAACTTAACTAAAATCAACATGCAACCTGAGAAAACTCCGGTAGCTAGCGTGGAGAAGATCACTGTTCCATTGGAAGCAAATCAGCAAAAAACACATGCAAGCGAAGGGATGATGCAAGAAGCAGCTAAGAGATTGGATTTGAGTGTGAGTCCAATTTCAAACAACCAAAATGGGAAATCAACTAAGAAAATTGCAGATCTGGCAAGTACAAGCAAGGATCCGGTGAGTACGAGCAAGGAACCAACTGACATACGCAAGGCCGGACAAGATCTAGCACCAGTAACTGAGGAAAAAGCAGAGAAACCAGCGTGGACTTCCCTATTTGCAGGTAATCGAAGCTCTGAAAATGGCTTGAAATTGAGTTATATACCACCAAAAATTATAGAAGGTAAAACAGTTGTTCAACTTGAGAAAGAGGATGTGGAGAAGGAAGCTAAAAAATGGAAATGCGCTCTAATTTTGTATGTAATTGGGGAAACACCGGGCTATAACTACATGCATAGATTTGTAAAACATAGTTGGAACCAAGTGGCAACACCAGAGGTATATTATCATGATGAAGGATACTATATTGTCAAGTTCCGATCTATGGCTGATATGAATGAGATTCTGTACTCGGGACCATACACAATTAACAATAAACCAATTATTTTGAAGCCATGGACGGTTCATTTTTATTTCACCAAGGAATTTCTCACTGAAATACCTCTATGGGTGAGACTGCCTAACCTGCATATGAATTGCTGGGGAGGGCAATCCCTGAGCAAGATTGCAAGTGCTATTGGCAAATCACTATATGCAGATGAATGCACTTCAAATCAAACAAGGGTCTCTTATGCTAGGATGCTGATTGAGATTAATGTTACTAGAACATTACCAACAAGTATCACGGTATGGGAACCAGATGGGAGACAATTTGAACAAATGATAGCCAATGACTGGAAGCCTGAATTCTGTGAAGAATGCCTAAAGATTGGTCACTCTTGTAAGAAAGATGAGAATGTGCACAACCAACAAGAGCAACCTAGAAGGAGAAGGGGACCAGTTGCACCTCTTAATGTACAGGAAGGCCCTCAGCAAACAGAAAAAGTGATGCAGGAATGGAGAGTGAAGAAGAGTGCAGACATACAAGACACTCCTGCAGTGATAGTAGGAGCAGAGTCCAGTGGAAAGCAGTCCAGTGATCTTACTCAACAGCCCGTGAGCCAAACTCAGCAAGCTATAACAAAGAATGGAGAACAAACACCTGAAAAGGTGATACCAAGCCTGGAACTGAGTTGTCCCAGAGAATTTCCAACTCTGGCCACAAGTATACTAAGAAGCAATAGAGCAGGAGAACACACAGGTGGAAAGGGGATACAACAGTGCTTGCCCATGGCTAATAGTGGGCCACCTATTCTAGCTTAATGACTTGGGTGATATGGAATGTGAGGGGAATAAATAAGAGATATAAACAAAAAGAATTAAAGACATATGTACATAATAAGCAAATAAAGTTAGCTGGGATTTTAGAAACTAGAGTAAAGGAGAGTAGAGCCAACGGGGTATTCAAAAACATATTTTCAGGTTGGGAAATGCAGAACAACTATCAAAATGCAATCAATGGGAGGATCTGGCTGGCATGGGATCCTAAAGTATATTGTATAGATGTTGAAAAAACAGATGCTCAATTAATTCACTGCACAGCAAGGGGAAGAAGAGATGGTTTTGAAGCATGTCTCACACTAGTGTATGGTTTCAATACAATTGAACAGAGGAAGGCCTATGGGATAGACTGAATGATATATCAACACAAGTGACAAAGCCATGGATTGTTGTTGGGGATTTCAATGCTATGCTCTATACTCAAGATAGAATGTATGGTAATCTAGTGGCAATGAGTGAAATGGTGGACTTCTCAGACTGTATTCATAATTTATTCCTAAACGAACTGGCATGGAAAGGAGAGTACTATACCTGGTCCAACAAACAACAAGGGGATGACAGGATTCTAAGTAGAATTGACAGGGTATTTGGGAATGATTTATGGATGTCTAACTGGGGGCATGTACACACTGAATATGATGTGCCAATGATATCTGATCACTCACCTATGCTGCTGCACATCAAGACTATGAATACTAATACCAAACCTCCTTTTAGATTCTTCAATGTATGGGCATACCATAAGGAATTTGGAACTATAGTAAAGGCTATATGGAATAAAAGACTTGCAGAAGATAACATGGAGAATATATGGAAGAAGCTTAAAGCCATGAAGCCACTGTTCAAGAAACTCAATGCAGAAGAATACAAGGGAATAACAAAGAGAATTGAGGATGCAAGGAAAAACCTGCTTACAGTACAAGAAAGGATACAATAACAACACAGTGACAACTTGCTAGATCAAGAAAAACAAACCCTCCAACAGCTAGAAAAATGGTCCCTAATTGAAGAGAGTGTTCTGAGACAAAAAGAAAGAGTCAAATGGATTAAACTGGGGGATGGCAATAACAAGTATTTTTCTGCCATTGTAAAAGAGAGAACTCAAAGAAAACAGATAATGGAGGTGATTACTGAAGATGGAAGAAAGGTGACAGATCAGACTAGCATCAAAGAAGAGTTCATAAGATTTTATAAGAACCTGATGGGGACTGCTGCAACAACACTTCCAGCAATTAATAAAGAAACAATGAAGAATGGGCCTAAACTCAATCATGAGCAACAGACAAGACTGATTGCAGAAGTGACAGAAGCAGAAATATTTGAGGGTCTATGTGCTATACAAGAAGATAAAGCTCCAGGAGTTGATGGATACAATTCATATTTTTTCAAGAAAGCATGGCCAATACTACAGCAGGAGATTGTGCAAGCAGTACAGGAGTTCTTTAATACTGGGAAGATGTGCAAAGCTATTAACTGCACAGCAATTACCTTGGTTCCTAAAGTGAACAACCCTACCACAGCAAAACAATTCAGGCCTATTGCATGCTGCACTGTCCTCTATAAGATAATCTCTAAAATTCTAGCTAGCAGGCTGCAAGGAGTTATTTCTAGTGTGATAAATGAAGCTCAGGCTGGATTCATCCCACGAAGGAGAATATCTAATAACATTGTTCTATCTCATGAACTTGTTAAGGCATACACCAGAAGGAATTCTTCCCCAAGGTGTATGATCAAAATTGATCTAACCAAAGCTTATGACTCTGTTGAATGGGTA